TGACTCAAAAACACATAAAAACATCATAGAAAACTAAAATACATATATTTTTAAAGCCATACTTGTAAAGCTGAACACTGTGACACTGATGTGTCAAATGTGTTAATGGTTACCCATGGTGGACAATGTTTGGTGAAAGCAGGAGTGGCATCTACTTTCGTAAATAGCTTGCCTCCAGAAACCCTATGAACCTGGAGAAAGGATGAAAGTCACACAAGTGTTGAGAACTTTCGTTTATAGGGTCACTATGAGTCGCCTATGACTCGACGACACTTAACAACAACAACAACAACATACTTGAATTTACATTGAAAGATAGCTCTTAATCGTCTTCAGTCTATGAAGTCAGCCATCAGTAGTGTTGTCAGAGTATAAATGAGACAATAGGCAGACTAAACCAATAAAGTCTTAATAATTGCGTTAATATACTGAAGTAGACCTTGCTCTTCCCAGATGAGTTCATATCAATAAATTCTCAAGTTCACAGTTAGATATTTACTGATTTGCATATTTTTGCGGTGATTTTATTTAGTGTTCACAGGATGTCAAGTGCTGTGCTGGCAGCAGACTTAAACAGAGGCCACTGAGAACGACTGCTGTCACCATTGAGTTCAGAGGGTAGTAGTGACTGGCACATACCCACCGACAAATGTTCACCATAGTGCATGGTGTCAAAAGTCTCCTTAGAGCTGCTGTAGCCCTGAGGAAGCAAGGAGGAAGGGAAATTTGGGACCATAGGGAACAGCCTGCCCGACAAAGCACCTCAGAGTCATTTAGCCAACTCTTTCTGGCACAGTGAAGGAGATAAAAGCAAACCTTTGAGGTCAGGGAACAAGAATCTAGGACTTTACACATTTCTATGTTCAGGTTCCTTTCAGTAGTTGTGAGAATGTGATTATATTTACGGATGTCTAGGGAATTAGATTTTAATTAACAGCTCTCTATACTGAGTAGGGCATCTCCTGACTTTTTAAAAGAGCATCTTCTCCATTGTGTGCTTGCTGTTGTTAGGACCCATCAAATTGACTCATAACAACCCTTTGAACAGCAAATTAAAGCCTTGCCCCCTCCTGTGCCATCTTCACAATCTCTGCCATGTTCACTACCACGGTTTCAGCCACTGTGTCAGTCCAATCAGGTATTCACATATGCTGATCTCACCAACCCGTGGGGGCTTGTATCCTAAAAAGCAACTAGCCTTTCTCTCTTCAACCCTAAGGGGTGAGTGTGGACGTGATAGTTGTAAAACAGGATGCATCTCTAGCACTGGATCCTCTCCAAGGCTCACTTGGGACAGCTGAAGAGTTTCTTATTTGTCCCAATTTTTTTCTAGTTACTTTCTTCCCCTGCCTCCCCACTGTACGTGTATTTCTTATGTTAGCCTAAAATGCAGGGGTAGGGGGTATTGTCGCTGTTGTTGTCATATGTCATCGAATCTCTTCCACCTCATAGCGACCCTATGTACACAGCTCTCAACCCTGCTCTGTCCTGAGCCAACCTTGTTAACTCTGACACACCTACCCACCCTGACCCCAGTCACTGTGTCAATCCATCTCATTGAGGGTCTTCCTCTCTTGTACTGTCCCTCCACCGTCCCAAGCATGATGTCCCTCTCCAAAGACTGGTCCCTCTTTGCAACATGCTCAAAGTATATCAAATGTAGTTTCAGAATCCTTGCCTCCAAGGAGTAGCCTGGTTTCATCCTCTCTAGGATGAACCTGTTTGTTCTTCTGGCAGTCCATGGTATATGCAATACTCCCCTCCCGCACCACAGCTCAAAGGCATCAATTCTCCTTCTTTCATCCCTAGTCATTGTCCAGATCTCTGATGCATAGCAAGTGATTGCAAAGACTATGACCTGTATCAAGTGCACCTTAGAATGTACTGTTATCCCAAATTTGCTAGTGAGGACATTGAGTCAAGAAGAAGAAAATTAGTTTCTATGAGGTGTCACAAAGAAAGTACTAATCAGAATATGTTGTTGTTGTTGTTGTTATGTGCTGTCGAGTCATTTGCGACTCATGGCGACCCTATGTACAACAGCCCTAAACCCTGCTCTATCCTGTGCCAATCGCATGGCCTCTGACACACCCATCCCGATTACTCCAGTCACTGAATCAATCCACCTCATAGAGGGTCTTCCCCTCCTGCACTGTCCCTCCACCCTCCCAAGCATGATGTCCCTCTCCAAGGACCTGTCTCTCCTTACAACATGTCCAAAGTATGTCAGATGAAGCCCCAGAATCCTTGCCTCCAAGGAGTAGCCTGGTTTAATCCTCTCCAGGGTGAATCTGTGTGTTTTCTTGGCAGTCCAGGGTACATTCAATACTTTTCTCCAGCACCAGAGCTCAAAGGCATCAATTCTCCTTCTATCTTCCCTAGTCATTGTCCAACTCTCTGATGCATAACAAGTGATTGCAAAGACCATGGCCTGTATCAGGTGCACCTTAGTCTCCAGAGAGACACCATTGCTCTGTACCATCAAATCAGATCTGACTGGTACGGGAGGAGATTGTCCCTCCTTCTCCAGCAGAGCATCTGGTGGATTTGAACTGCTCACCTCTGGGATTGCAGTGCAGCTTATTGCCACTAGGCCACCAGAGCTCGCCTTAATTGGAATATAAGGAAGCTTTTCCCCCCACCAGATATTATAGAAGAGATAATGTCTACTGAGATGAGTGATTAGAGAAATATTACTAACACATGTGCCCAAATCTTGACTAAGGAGAGCATGTTCTGGGTAACACAGACTCTGGTGGAAGTGGTCCTTTTATTGGAAGAGATGTAAACAAGGAAATTGCTTTATTTTCATTCTCATAAATTTTAAAATCAGTAAAAATAGAAACACAAGGCCTATGATGGTCCAGCTATACTAGTTTTTTCCCCTGTAAATGAAAATCATGTTTGTGGGGAATGATTTCATTTATACTAGGTCTGCCTGGACTATCAGTCAACTCTGCTGTAATGAATTTCAGCCTGTTAGATTAATCTTTAGAAGTTGATGTGTATTCATTTATGCTTCCTTATTTCAGTGCATCTCCAGAGGCACAATATATTGCCAGTGTTTATACCTGAGGCCACCATCAAGGAAAGGCATTTTAAAGAAAAGAATTGTGAAAAATAGTTTACATGTGCCCTTATTCTCACAGCATTTTTGTTGTTGTTGTTGTTGTGGGGTCTTTTGGGGTGTTTTTTTTTTTTTTTGGTGGAGTATTTGAGATCATATGCTTGAGGATCAAACCAAAGATGATCTGAAGTCTAATGTTGTTATGTGCCATCGAGTCACCTGTGACTCGTAGTGACCCTATTATGTACAACAGCCCTAAACCCTGTTCTATCCTATGCCAATCTCACCATCTCCGACACACCTACCCCCATTACCCCGTCACTGAATCAGTCCAACTCATAAAGGGTCCTCCTCTCCTGTGCTGTCCCTACACCTTCCCAAGCATGACGTCCCTCTCCAAAAACTGGTCCCTCCTTGCAGCATGTCCAAATTATGTCAGACAAAGCTTCAGAATTCTTGCCTCCAAGGAGCAGCCTGGTTTAACCCTCTCTAGGACAAACCTGTTTGGTGTTTTTTTGTTTTTTTTTGTTGTTTGTTTTGTTTTTTTGCAGTTGATGGTATACTCAATACTCTCATCCAGCACCACAGCTCAAACCCTCAATTCTCCATCTGTCATCCCTAGTCATTGTCCTGCTCTCTGAAGCATAGCAAGTGATTGCAAAGACCATGGTCTGTATCAGATGCACTTTAGTCTCCAGAGAGGCAGCCTTGCTCTTCAGAACTTTCCCATCACAGTATACCTTTTAATTTATTAATCATGAAATTTCTTCCATGTTATTTCTCCTATAATTAAATAGCCTCATTGTGAAAATGGCAATAATAACTGTTCCTGCCTCACCTAAGTATTGAATAGACAGGATATGGGACCACTTCCTGTGTATGCATCCTGTAGTCATAGAAGGTCTCACACTCAGATCGACCGACCCACTCTTGGCTTTGGCGGCTTCAGTTACCATTTTGCTATCATTAAATACTTTTTTGGAATCATAGAACCCATTTTTTTACTTTGCACTTAACAACAAAACAATAACTTATTGCCATGGAGTCAGAACCAACTCATAGCTGACCCTCAAGTGAGTTTTGGAACTGGAAATGGCATAGGAGATTGCCCATTTTTCTTTCACAGAACAGAGGGTGGATTCAAACTGAGCACCTTTGGATTATGAATGCACTCTCTACCCACTAGCCCAATTAGTGCTACCAATCTTGTAACCATTACCGGATAAGACTGATTGTAAAGTTTATACCTCATGCTACCTGGCACATAGAGTAACTGAATAATTTTTGGCTGTTGTTAATTTGGAAGGCCCTGAGTGGTACAAAAAAAGCTAACTCAACTGCTCACCAAAAAATGTTGAAGGTTCTGATTTGTTAGAAGGTCCCTGGAAGAAAGTCCTGGTCCTCTCTGTCAGAAAAATTAGCCTCTAAAACCCCTCTGGTGAAGGGGTTCCAGTAGCACTTATTTGGACTCACCTTGAATCAGAATAAGCTCAACTATAGCTGGTTATTAATATTAATTAGCTGGCTTATTAATTTGGCAAAGAAGCTTTTAGTTGGTTGAGGATAAGCCCAAAGTTGTATTTTTCTGACCTTTTCAATCTGTTCAGGATACTGATCCTGATGGTGGAGTAGATCACATAAAGCTTGATGCACTTTGTTAACATTCTGCTGGTAAACATTCATTTGGAGTCTTTTACTATCTCTCAGTGATTGCACCTCTGATGCAATGTGTGGGCTCTGGATGGCTGCTCATGTAGTGTACATGTTTCTCTACCAAGAGATTCTATCATTCAATAAAACCTACTTGATCTGTTGTTTTTATAGTCTGACAATGGAGGGCTATAGCTGACATACTGATCTACTGACCTTTTTTTGCAGACAGACACTTGCACGAGCTCTAATACTCTTCCTTTGCTCTTATTTTTCTTTGCAGACTCTTTGAACTCCAGAAGGACCGACACCAGATAAATTATGAATGTTGAACAAGATGACCTTACATCCACAGCAGATAATGATAGGTCCTAGGTTTAACAGGGCCTTATTTGACCCCCTGCTTGTGGTGCTGCTGGCTCTTCAACTGCTCGTGGTGGCTGGGCTGGTGCGGGCCCAAACCTGCCCTTCTGTCTGCTCCTGCAGCAACCAGTTCAGCAAGGTGATCTGCGTTCGGAAAAACCTGCGTGAGGTTCCGGATGGCATCTCCACCAACACACGCCTGCTGAACCTCCACGAGAACCAAATCCAGATCATCAAAGTGAACAGCTTCAAGCACCTGCGGCACCTGGAAATCCTACAGTTGAGTAGGAATCACATTAGAACGATTGAAATCGGGGCCTTCAATGGTCTGGCCAACCTCAACACTCTGGAACTCTTTGACAATCGTCTTACCACCATCCCAAATGGAGCTTTTGTATATTTGTCTAAACTGAAGGAGCTCTGGTTGAGAAATAACCCCATTGAAAGCATACCTTCCTACGCTTTTAACAGAATTCCTTCTCTGCGCCGGCTAGACTTGGGGGAATTGAAAAGGCTTTCCTACATCTCAGAAGGTGCCTTTGAAGGTCTGTCCAATTTGAGGTATTTGAACCTTGCCATGTGCAACCTCCGGGAAATCCCTAACCTCACGCCACTTATCAAACTGGATGAGCTGGACCTTTCTGGGAATCATTTGTCTGCTATCAGGCCTGGCTCTTTCCAGGGGTTGATGCACCTTCAAAAACTGTGGATGATACAATCCCAGATCCAAGTGATTGAACGGAATGCCTTTGATAACCTTCAGTCACTGGTGGAGATCAACCTGGCACACAACAATCTAACGTTACTGCCTCATGACCTGTTCACCCCCCTGCATCATCTAGAGCGGATACACTTACATCACAACCCTTGGAACTGTAATTGTGATATACTGTGGCTCAGCTGGTGGATAAAAGACATGGCTCCCTCGAACACAGCTTGCTGTGCCCGGTGTAACACACCCCCCAACCTGAAAGGGAGGTACATCGGGGAGCTGGACCAGAATTACTTCACATGCTATGCTCCTGTGATTGTGGAGCCCCCCGCAGACCTCAATGTCACTGAAGGCATGGCAGCCGAGCTGAAGTGCCGGGCCTCCACCTCGCTGACCTCTGTGTCGTGGATTACTCCAAATGGAACAGTCATGACCCATGGGGCTTACAAAGTGCGGATAGCTGTGCTCAGCGATGGCACCTTAAACTTCACGAATGTAACCGTGCAAGACACGGGCATGTACACGTGTATGGTGAGTAATTCCGTTGGAAACACCACTGCTTCGGCCACCCTGAATGTTACCGCAGCAGCCACCACTCCCTTCTCGTACTTTTCAACAGTCACAGTAGAGACTATGGAACCTTCTCAGGATGAGGCTCGGACCACAGACAACAACGTGGGCCCCACTCCAGTGATCGACTGGGAGACCACCAATGTGACCACGTCTCTCACACCACAGAGCACAAGGTCGACAGAGAAAACATTCACCATCCCCGTGACCGACCTCAACAGTGGGATCCCAGGGATCGATGAGGTCATGAAGACGACCAAAATCATCATCGGCTGCTTCGTGGCCATCACCTTGATGGCTGCTGTGATGCTGGTCATTTTCTACAAGATGAGGAAGCAGCATCATCGGCAAAACCATCACGCCCCGACGCGGACTGTTGAAATCATTAATGTGGACGATGAGATTACAGGGGACACTCCCATGGAAAGCCACCTGCCCATGCCTGCCCTTGAACATGAGCACCTCAATCATTATAACTCTTACAAATCTCCCTTCAACCACACCACAACAGTGAACACGATCAACTCAATACACAGTTCAGTGCATGAACCGTTGTTGATTCGAATGAACTCCAAGGACAATGTCCAGGAGACTCAGATCTGAACCCCTGACAGTTACAGAAAACAAACAATCAAAAAAACAAAAACAAAACAAAAGACAGTTTATTAAAAATGACGCAAATGACTGGGCTAAAACAACTGTTTCCAAAAAAAAAAGTGTCTTTACAAAAAAAAAACACAAAAAAGAAAAGAAATTTATTTATTAAAAATTCTATTGTGACCTAAAGCAGACAAAATGATGTGTATTCCTCAGAACCTGTTTTTTGCTGCACTTATTTCCTGTTTTCCCCACTTCTCGTCCCTCCCTCCCTCCCCTGATTGCCATATTTTTCATAGGAGATCTCAATTCCCTAAAGAACTGGGCTAGGAAATTTTGTAAGAATTCTGTTACACTTTGAGATTTTTATGGTGAATTCTAGTGGTGAGATCCAGTCTATTTTGTCTCTTTTCTTTTCTTTCTTTTTTTTTCCCTCTCATGCCCTTATGAAGTAGTCCAATGGGGAATGCAATATTAGAAATAGATTTTTAAGAGAAGAATGAGGAAAAAAATGCAAGATCTTATATTTTTCATGTAATAACCTGTTCTGTATTTATGAGGAAGACCATACATACTATGGAAAAGAAGGGGGGGGGGACGTAAGGAAACCACAGATTAATTTACATTTGAGCATCTATAAAACCCATGATCTTTTCAACAACTCTAGAACCAGAATTTGTAGTTCAAATGCTAAAATAAGATTATAAATAAACTATTGTTGGTTTTTCTGTACCTGGACAAAACTCATTTGTAGTACAACACAGCTGTGAGACTTAAAGGTGATTAGATTGCCTCCTTGCTAAGAAAGAAACTACTGCAGTATTTTTTATTTGCTCCTGAATGCTCTCCATGCAGGGCCCCGTTTTATTTGTGGAGTCTTTGATCTGTATTCAAGGATGCTGTAGTAATTTTTTTCTTCTCATAGGGGTGCCCTTTGTAGAATGCTAAGATTTAAAAGAAAGTTATTCTGTAAAGGAAATTCTCTACTGCTTCGAAGAAAGTTTCAGCATAATCTATTCATTGTCTCATAAATAAAATGTCAAAGGCTCCAGGATGGACCAACACACGAAGGTATTACAAATCATCTAGAGTTGGGAAAGAAATTTTTTTCGGCTGGAGGGCTACAAATTTCATTCAGTTCAACAATAATTACTAAAGACCTGCTTCATTCTAAACACCTATTTCGGTATTGTGAGTAGACCCTTGACATGACCTGGTTCCTGCCCTTGAATCGTTCACAAAATGAATGACATACAGGTGTTTGGGGGTTTTCGGGTTTTTGGTGTTGTGTGTTTTTGTTTTTGTTTTTTTTTTTAACAGTTTCAGTTTATTCCTGAGATCCAGCTCTGTTTGTGTTCTTAGATAAGAAGTGCTAAATTGGATTTTAGGATTTTGAGATACTGGTTACTATTATTACAGAAACAGAAGCCCCATGGTTTCTTCTCTCCTTCCTTGGGAGTTGGCTCTCTTCTTCCAAATGCAGGGTTGCAGAACAGGTGGTAAAACACTTGGATCCTAAACATAATGTCAGAGTTCTGCCGTAGAAAGACCCTGAGGGGCAGCCCTACTCTGACCTCTATTGACGCAGCAGCACTGGGTTGTGTTAGGAGTTTAAGAAAGTGCTTTAACTGGTGTATACAAATCTAGAGATACCAAAGATTATACAGTAGCAATTTATTTGGAGCAGCTTTTAAGGAACTGTTAAAAAAAAAACCCAACCACCAACCAACCAACCAAACAAACAAACAACAACAACAACAACAAACAGGTAAGAGAAAAATGCAATAGCCTGTAGGGTTAAAAAGAGGACTTGCTGTTGGCCACCACTTTGGTGCTCCTCTGATCTTTTAATATAGCTTGCATCTATCCAGGAAAACTTAAGAAATGTGGGATCTGTGTAAGACAGGACCTTGCCAGAGAAGGAAAATGCAATTCTTTTCAATTACTGAACAATAATAGAAAAATTGAAAGATGCACACTGTCACAGGTAGAAAAATCATGAGACTTGGAAAAACAACACACAGAGTCCCCAGTCTCACAGGCCTCATTGTATTAATATCTTCTATTTTCTACATGGCCCAGCGAGTCATTGTGAACATAGGCACCTCTGATTCTTGGCGTTTGTAAACTGACACCTCAGTGGTGAAACTGGATTAAGAGGCTGGAAAAAATCACAGCTCCTAATGACTGACCACCTTGGATACACACAACTGTGAGGGGCAAATCTCACAACAGGGGACCTGTAGACTCCAAGCGCGAAAATCCAATCACTGCTAGCAAAGTAGATCAGAGAAATAAAGCGGGGGCAGTGGACAGCAAATGAATGAGACCGTACAAGGGCCCAGCTACTCTATCACTAATTTTCTACTGGCTTTTTCCTCCCTCATCTTCAACATGCCTTTGTTTAGGGACACAATCTAGATTTGCTTTTTCTCTGTGGAAAATACCCAAGAAAAGAGGAAACACATATTGACTGTCGTCTCTCACATTATTCAGTACTGAGTCTGAGTAATAGATCCCCAAGTTGCAGGTTACACATGCAAAAAGATGCAGAGAGATAGTCTGCAGTGGCAGGTAAGGGTGACAGAAAGAAGATTGGTATACAGCCAGAAGTAAAAGAATCTCACCTCATCTGCCTTCCTCTCCCTGGGCTCTGATTATTTTGGTGGTTATGAACTTTCTTTCATTTGAGCAGCTAGTTTGCATGTGGTTCATCCCAATGCACAATACGCTTAACTACTACATAGAATGGAGGGTGTTCAAGGAACAAAAAAAAAGTCTCTGAGTGCTGAGCCATTAATCAAAATGTTGATGGTTCAAAACCACCCAATGATCCCGTAGGAGAAAAACGTGACTATCCGACCTCCAAAAAATATTATCACTTATAAAACACCATGGGTCAGTCTGTCATGTGGGGGTGTTTTTTGGTTGTAAGTTAAAAACTAACTTAATGAGACTTAATACCAACAAGAAATTATGGGTGTCCTAATAAATAAATATGAAAAATTGATGAAAGTTTGAATAATTGAAATGGATATCTTTAGTAAATTTAGGAACTCCTGGAAGAAGTGCTCATTGTATGGTGAAAAATAAAGCCCTAACTCTTTTATTGCTGTTAATTTGGCATCAACTCACACTTGACCTTCTTGCAGGTTTTCTGAAGCTATAAATCTCGTGGGAGAAGATTTGCCATCTCTCTCTCTAGCAGAGCAGCTGGTGGATTTGAACCACTTGCTTTTGGGTTGCCGGCATAATTCTTTACTCACTAGGCTACCAAACAAGTGTTTTAAAAAAGAAAAACCTACGAATCAACTTTAGTAACCCAAACTTATAAACCCCAAATCCACTTTCTACATATTTTCTGATTAGCAGTATTCCTGTACATGCCCTCTATCATGTGTGCAGCCCTAGTCTATCAGCATAAAAGGTGATCTAATGTGTTAGCGATGGTCACAACATGGCCATTTCTTTCAGCAGAACGCTCCTGTGATTGTGCAAGCATCTCGCGCACCCGTTTGATGGCGGTGTGTGCTGTCGAATTGAAGGTGATTCAAAGCTTTCTCCTCCCGAGCAGCGGGTGGATTTCAACCACCTGACTCTGGCATAGCCGCATGACTCCTCACCCACCAGGCTATCAGAGCTCCGGATTCATGGAACAAAACATAATTCTGCTTTCGCTCCTTTCCGTCCGTATTCTCTCCAGGTGGCAGTATTCTGAAATATTCATGTGTATTTAAATATGCTATTCATAATTAACAGACCTAAAGTAAATCTATGAAAATGAAATCCATTTTTTTCCCCCACTGAAGGTATGAAATTTACTTCTGGAGAAACATCTGGGATGCTTTTGGAAGAAGATTCTACAACGTCTTTGTTCTGTTATGAAATAGAATGCTTACTACCCAGCAGTAATCTTGGTCTACTAAACTGTACTGAATAGGTCTATATACTTTGATATTTTGAAAAGGATTTGATAGAGTTTACACTCATCAGTCTTCCACTAGAGCTTTAAAACTTTCCTTTCCTCTCTGAATATTCTGAAGACAAATGTCATCCTCCCCAAAGACTGAAATAAGTATTTGAAAATAGAAAATTGGTTAATGTATTTTTAATGAAAAAACATGTTGCTAGTTCATGATTCCTCTTAGACTGTATGGCCCAAGAGTTAACATTTAGGGTATTATCTGCAGGCATCATAGCTAATTATGAATACAGACATGGTAGAAAAAAGCTTGGTACTGAAAGAGTTGTTTATGTCGAAGAAAAACAAGATGCTGGCATTTTTATAACTGAAGTAGAGGAACTAAGGAGGTTCCATATTTTACTGAAAGAGGAAAATATTAAGTGTATAGCCTTATGATAACCCGTATTTGCAGGGCAAATACTGATCAAAGTGGAAAAAAAGTCTTTTAGGCTTTGGAGATCTTATTCATGATGTTGAGATGAGACAAATGAGAGGAGTCCTTATGAATACCTGGAACTCCAACATAATCTAGTTTTAAACAATGTATTTAATGATTTGCTGCTTCAACTGGCTACTTATTAAGTACATGCATGATAATTATATAATTGCACGCCACAGGTAACACCTGTAAAATGCCTGGGCTAGAATTTATATTTCTCAAGAAACTATTCATATGCTTCTAATGTATGGTGGTGGTGGTGTTATGTGGGATTAAGTTGGAACCAATTGGATCAGACCCTCCAGCCAGTTTTCAGAGACTGTAAGTGACATTCTTCCCATTCTTCTGAGAGCCAGCCACAGTTTGTTGTGATGCACACAGTCAAAAGCCTTTGCGTAGTCAATGAAGCACAGGTAGACATTTCTCTGATACTCTCTGCTTTCAGCCAAAATCCATCTAACATTAGCAATAAATATCCCTAGTACTACGGCCTCTTCTAAATCCAGCCTGCACTTCTGGCAGTTCTCTGTTGACGTGCTGTTCCAGTCGTTTTTGGATCATTTTCATCAGAATCTTCCTTGCATGTGATAACAGCCCATGGAGTTGCTGGTGGATCAAAATCACTTCCATTTGGATTGGTAACACAATTCCTTACCTGTTAGACCACAAAAGCTTTCTGTAAAATATAATAGAGCAGAATCAAATTATTTTGTTAGGGACATCTGTCCATAATTATATTCATATCATTATATTTTTCTAAGAAAAAAGATTTCTGTACGAAAAAACCCTGCTTCTG